ACACGATGGCGTGTATTTCAATACTTGGAGTATGTATTATACTTTCTTATAGTACACCTTTGTTCAAATAGGGTTTTGAGAACAATCAATGGTTATAGGCTTGGAAGCTCCAATTTGCATGTTGATGTGAACGTAGTACAGATTCAATCATACAGTACTGCGTTCTCTGCAAACGTACCATCCTAGAATTCAGACTCAGCATTGTTGCATGCGCAGATAATTCTATTTGTCATCACTACGTCCTAGATCCTAACGTCGTTATGCAATTGAAAGCTCTTAACTGTTCAAAGTTCCGGTGAGATTACTTTGGTCGTCTCCTGAGGCAGATGATATTGCAATGATGACAAATTTGATGACTAGTCAATCACTGGCAAGGAGTACATCATGGTGCAACAAACTTAGTAATGAACATTCATGTCAAGGAAAAAAGAAATAAAAATTTGTTTAAAGGATTTAAGAAATTGCTACCAAATTCTTCATCATCGATTTCCTAGGAATGTATATGTTGAAAAACTGTCTTTTTTTGCATCGCACTGTGGAGAAGGCTGAAAACAAGCAAATATAACCATCATTTAATAACTTTATTATAAATTTTATTACATATTCTTCCTGTTCAATAAGCCACCTATTTAAAAATTAACAAACAAAAATAAATGACAAAGACTATAAAATATTTTTGATATACCATAGCGAGCCTAGAAGTAGCAAAGGCATTCAATAGGAAAAGTATCCCTAATAGGATGTGGTAATACTACCAAAAAGTATAGAATTACAAGAGGTACAACTGTTGAGGTTTCCTTAAAGCGGAATCTTATCTCAAAAAGCACTACCACAAACTAGAGGGCACCCTTCAAAAGAACATAAAAGGCATTTGTATCGAACGCATCCTGCATTTCAAATTTGTTCATGCTTACCTTGCATCCCAGTTTTTGTGCCATGCCTGTCACTTTATTCACAAACTGTGTGTATTGCTCTTCCGTTAATTCCAGCATAAACTTCGCAGTCTCAAGGACTAATGTTGCTCCATCGGCCATTACAATTTTCAATGATTCGTTAAGGTTATGGACCATGCTAAATATAATGGAATAAAATGGAGTAAAATGGTATTAATATACACCTTCATATGGTATATATAGTCAGGATATTGGGATTATCAATCATTTTAACATTAACAGTGCAATAAACATGTATATTAGTTATGAAACAGAAAATCAAATACTGTATGTTTAATTAGTTTTAAAGTTGATTTCAATAAAACTTTATTAATTTATTGCAAATTCAAAGTACATTTAAATTTTAAAAAAATGTATAAATATGATTAGAAGAGTATTCTTAGGAAGCATAAGCATTAAAATGGTAACAAAACTAAAACACAATTCCAGTAATTATAAACAAACATATTTAAATAATATCAACTAAACAAATCCTCACCTATTAGATAAATACACCAAGTTGAATAATTCTTTATATTTACTTTTCTTGTGAATCTCAGTTGTTGAGCCAAGTGGAAGAAAGTAAATTTTGACATTCTCCAATGCTATTCTCTCTGTGAAAATAAAATGGAAGTACGTAAGTAGGTATATAAATAAGTATATATATGAAGTAATGGTCTATCACTCTGATCAAATACATAAACTAATGGTTGGAACTAAAATTGAAAGCTCTATATCTCACATAGTGAATAAAAGTTAAAATATTTCATTAACTTAACACACCTGTTCCATTCTTGTTAGTATTTTCATTATCATTGACACCATTGTCTACTTTATCTTCACTTCCCTCATTCTCATCTTCTTCAGTTATTTCAGTTAAAGTAGCTGAGTCACTTTGTTCTTTGCCTTCCTTTCTTTCCTGTGGTACATAATTCTCCTTCTTTGAGAGCTCATGAAGTAGTGATAGTATGTTGAATTCTGAGATGTCTGCAGCAGTCTGAAAAGTATATTGATAATAATTTAATAATAATAATAATAATAATAATAATAATAATTTTAAAGACCTCCAAACAAAAAAATACCAAAAATATAAAAGCATTAATAATGCTAATTGAATGACAATTGATATTATAACTGATAATTGATAAATAAATATTTTTCTGTTTACATTTCGTTACTGGTACAAACCCTTGTATGTGTTCCATTAGCAGTTTTGAACAGTTCTTTGTTTTCACTCTCAATTCCATAAGCCAGGTAAGGACTGCACATAATATCACCCCAGTATCCACGTTGTTTAATGGCTACTCCTCCCTAGGATAAAATAAAAATAAATTAAATTGTCAGTCCACCAAAGACAGTAAAAGTTATTTAGTATAAGGTATGGAAAATGTAGCCAACTTCCAAAGGGAGGCAGATAATATTTTGTGAGCTGCAGCTAAATCCAATTGTTGGTTCACAGTTCAATCATAGAACAGGGGTCACAAGTTGGAAAAAGTCAATTCTGGGAGAGAACAGATGGAGGGCCTAGACCACTTCAGCCCCACCATAGTTTGGGCTGAGATGAGAAAATTTATGATTATGGCACCTCTGGATGGGCGGAAATGGCACTCTCAGACTTAGATTTTGAATATGATTTCCTTTTTTTCTCCATTTTTAAAAATAATTTTGGCAACGGAGGAAGAGGGAGGTGGATGGGCAGGCCAGCTTACTCCTGAATCTGCCACTGATCTGGTTAATGAGCTTTCTTAATACATACTCCAAGTATCGAAATGCACGCCATCGTGTCGGGATTCAATATTTCGACATTGATTATGTCATCATCAGGAAGCTTTTCTTAACACATTTAATTTTATTTTGTTGCACATTGGCACTGACTTCCGTGAGAGAATTGATAATATAGCAGCAAAAACATGCAAATATTATTAATTTGCAGGAGATGGGTTATTTTCCTGGAAATTCTTGCTTGCTTGCGGGAGTGCAGGAGGCCGTCCCAAATTTGTGGGGTGGGGCGCCTGAGCCGGCTGGGCTCCCCTTGAATCCGTCACTGAATACCTATATGGTTCAAATCCTATGAAGGCACATGGATATTTTTCATATTAAAAGTTCCATCCTGCACATCTGCACTTTCTTTATAGATGTATTTATTGTAAAATTACCTGTTTCAAAACCAAACCCGAGGCTAGAGTCTTATTAGATATTTCATAAGTACCATCTCTAGCTTCAAAGGCAACACCTGTGTCTCTCCACACACCATATTGTTTAGAGTTGATGACGGATGCTCCTCTTTCCCGAAGCTTCATGTTATAATCCCAATCAAAACAATTATGTCTTGAGTCATAGCGTTGCTCCATGTGTTTGCGAACTCTATTATCCCTATAAGAGACAGAATTACCATTTCATTATTAGGATTGATTTGTTCGTAAAGACATTACAAATCATTAGCCTACATTCTAAATTGAATTAAATATTCATTATCATCTGCTCGCTTATGTGTTTACAACCTTAATGATCTAAGGATTACACATCTTTCAGCTGTCTTCCTTTTGCTTTTAAAGTCAACTTCATGATTTGCCTCTATATACAGTAGTCTTTGGTTTGTTTGTGATGTTAAGTACTTTTATAACCAGAAAACAAACAAAAATGTATTAAAATATTATTATCATTATACTACTACTACTATTACTAATACCACTACCACTGTTATATAGTATTATGTTTTTTTTATGTGTATTTTTAAGTTTAGTTTTATATTCTATTTTATGAAAGCACTGTAACCCACATTTCATGTGAACCAAGCACAATGACAATAAATTGATATTGTATTTTGTTTTTACTTCATTAATTTTTTTTTTTTTAACTTCATTAATTTTTTTTTATGTTTATAATTCTCAACAGTTCTCATTGTGTCAACATAGAAAACTCCTATGTTCTGCTGTAAACATACTTTATAACAAGTATAGTTATTATTAGTATTCTCTTATTATCAACATTTAGAAGGTTAACAACTAATCGTACCAATATACTGAGATATCAAACACATTGTTGTCTGGATTCCTCCAGAACTTAAAAACTGCTTCCAGCTGATCCCTTTCCTTGAACTTCAAGGAAGACATATCCAGTTCTGGGAATGATGATGCAAGAAAGTCTGGATCCGTCACCATCCTAAAAATTAAATGAAAAAAATATGGAATATTAATACAAACTCTAACTTACGAAAAATTGAAACATATGTATGTATAATAATAATAAAATATCATGTGGGACTTGTTAGATACCCTGTTGGCAAATGTTTATGCCATTGCTGGGGATATTGAAAAAAAATTGGTGCTCCCAACCATGAAAATTATCTTGATAAAATGCCTTCACCCCAAAAAGTTATCTTTACACACTATTATAGCAAAAATTCTAAAAGTTCCTTTGATAAAGTGGCCAATGCACCCAGAACACCAGACCTCAAAATTAAGTCATTTTACGTCCGTCTCTGCAAAAATTGTAAAAATTCTGTGGCATTCTCAGATAATAACCCCATACTTCAGTTTGGGTGCTAGTTTGGTGCTTTTTTCTTTGCTTACTTATTTAGTCATTTTTTCATTGTCTCCTTTCCTATTGTCAAGTGCACAGAGACCTTGTTTATTTATGCTATATAAATTCATCTTATCATTACAGATAAAGAAAAACTTATTTTCATCATTTTCATTGGAAATGACATGGTGGAAAAAATGTTCCTCTCAAAGACATGATACAAATATTTTCTATTTTTAAATACAAGTTAAATTTTAATTTCAATAATTCTATAATTCGAGTGCCTATTTGCATTAAAGTGTCTGATTCCTCTAGAAATTAAAGAATCTCGATATTATTATTATTCATAATAAATATAAATAAATGGATAGAGAAATGGGATGTAAAAGTATAGATGCACTTAATATGAACAGTACAAGTTGATGTGTAAAGCCAAGTTTGCAATGTCAGGACCGCCAAGAGGGGGAACTGTAACAGGGGCAAGGGTTGGTGTGGGCCCCCAGTTACGAGGACAAAGCGCGAGAAAGATTGCACCAAAGGCCCAAAAAGTTTGTTGGGAGGGGACCCTGTTAGTCTGGAGGGACCCATTATTAGGGGACCCATGCCATTATTGAGGGCCCATGATAGAAATTATTTTTTTTTAAATAAAATATTAAAAAAATGCAATTTTAATGGCACCCCCCACAGTAAGCTTGGGCCCCGGGGATCTTTCCCCCTGCCCCCCCTCTCAGTGGCCCTCTTCAATGTGCCAATAACATACTTGATGAACAAATTGGCTTTTTCAATTATATAATCACTGGTCTGTTGTCGCACTAAGCTATTGCCGAACACTTCCAAAAATAGTTCCATCTTTTCTTGTAGTCCCATTCGGTTTGGTACTTCAGTCACAATGCTCAAGAGAAGCATTTGTCTAGCCAAGAGTTCCAAGCTGTTCTCAATTATGTAGAACTGAAGAGAGAAATTATAATTAATATTATCAATCACAATATATATATATTTTTTTTAATATATTTTTTTTAATTGTTTTATCTATCACATTAATTTTTGCTCACTTTCATTAAAAAAAAAATACACCATTGGTTGAAAATAAACAAAATGTAATTTTTTAAATGAAAAATGCATTGTTGATTTATGTACAATAATGTGACAATTACTTACATTAAGTTGTTTTTTGGTGTGGCGATAAGCTCTTGATATTGTCTTCAAGACGTGTCTGACATCACCAGCACCAACAAGCAGCATGTTGAGTTCCTCGGCTACAGAATCAGTAGTCCTATCCAGTTTCAAATCTTCAGATTGTGTGCATGTGTCTAAATTCAATTAAAATTAAAACCATTTAAATTGGATGCTAACCTAGCCTAGGGCCTATATATATATATCCGTACATCAAATATTGAAATAAGCAATCACTCAACATGCTCCATGATTTTCATTTCATTTCTTTTAGAAAAAAAAAGTTGATTTATTATGGATAAATAATAAGCCTAATAGTTGTATGTTAGGTCAGACACAGGGCTAGAATACGGGCAGAGTACCTGTTCTGCATCTGGGGCCGGGCCTGATCTAGCAATTGATAGGCTGGACTTACCCTAGCTAGGCCTAGTCATAATCATTCATATTATGTAAAATCGCAATTTAATCATATAGGCCTAGGGATATATGTATAATATAAGATCATTATCATATACCTTTCTCTTGAAAATCAATTGCAGGACTAAATCCCCACCATGTAATTGCTCCAAATGCATCTGTCATATTTATAATAGTAATAATCAGGTAGCCTAAATCAAATAAATTATGTGCCTTGACTAAAAATTCCTGACCCAAGAAAACAGCATAACGTAACAAGGCAACGGTGGTGAAACTGGCCTCTGCTTCCTTATCATAGGTAGACGCAATTGCGCGTCAATTTGACATGAACTACGCGTTATTTTATTATAAGTATGAATAGATGGCAAGTTGAAGTGAAACGCAATATGAGTCATGAACGACGCTTTGAAATACGCGCCGCAATTAAAAAGGAACAGGTCTCGCTTGTGTAAGACTCTTTCCTTTATTGTGATTTTGGATTTTGGGATGATTTGTATTGAATGAATTTAAAATGGAAGCTATAAAAATGTAAGTTTTGAAAAAAGTTTTGTTAGATTTTACAGGTCAAAAGTTAGAAAGAAATAAATGTTAAATTTCCTAGGCTTAATCATGGGGCCTAGCTAGGCTAGGCCTAGCTAGACCCGGGCTCGGCTGTCCTCCCTTGCCTATCTAGCTAGGGCATAGGCCCTAGGCCTAGCTAGTGTAGTCTAGGGCCTAGCCTAGGTCCTAGCCTAGGTAGGCCTTCCGGCCCACTTACACTGTCGTATTAGGTAGTGGCCAAGCTTCGGCCTACCATACATACATAGGGATAATTCACATGTTCCAGACAGAAAACTACTTATCAAAAATATAAAAAAAAAATTATCTTGGTTATCTAGGCCTATTGTTTAATACCAGTCTTACAATGAATTCATAATTTAATTTTGGTTGGATGTTGTTACTGTCCTAATGGAACCCATACATATCTAGAACAAACAATGACATCAATCAGGATTATATGATGGTGTAAGAGCCACTGCCTTTTTATTAGCCACTTGAGACAATTAATGCCATGTAAATTAAGATGATTGATTGAAATATATAATGAGTATGTGAAGCATGTCTTTGGTATTATTTTTCACTGTCGATATTTGTGTAAAATAATTTCATGTAATGTATGTTCTACATGCAACTCACCATAATAATACTGTTCAGTGCTGATCAAAATTGTAGTTTCTAATAATAAATGAATTATGACAATTTGCTTGATTATTTTTTCACTTCTTTAACAGCTCCCAAATCTTGAGTTCTAGTGGTTGAAACATTTGCAAACTATTGATGGATATGGCCTCTGCTATGGCCATTAATGAACTTAAGAACTGATACAATATTTCTGTTACATATTTTCAGCTTAGTAAGTGGTGATGTGGAGGGCAACTTTGATCAGTTATTCAAAAGAGTGGAAAAAGTAAATAAGAAAGCTGGTCCATTTGAGGTATGTAATCTTTGGTAGCAAAAATACATTAAAATATCTCCTGAAACTTTCCTTATTCACAGGAATTGTATGTGGAAGTAGATTGAAATGGGAAATAAACTTACCAAAACAGGTGTAAGACAAAATTGCAATCAAAACAAATTTCCAACCTCTTAAAAATGGCAATGAGCTAGATCAGGGGTGGGCATATAAATGGGCTTGAAGGCCAAAATAAATTTTTGATTAAATACTAATGGCCGCACCCAAACTTTGATTTTTCAGTGTGCATCTAAATCTTCATTGACTGTTTTTATACTATATACCACTTTATGATCATTTCTAATAATTACTATTCACAGATTATTGGTGTCAGGCTGTAAAGAAACATAAGTTTTTAATTTATATTCACGGGCCACAACAAAATCACTGTTGGGCTGCATGTGGCCCATGAGCCGCACTTTTTCCAACTGCAAACTAGAATGTCAATAACCATAATGTAAAGAAAATAACAATACCAAACATCAGTTAACTTTGTATTTGTTTTAGGAATTATTTTGCAATTTTTTATACATAAAAATAGCAAGAACAAAGACTAGATACTGCGAATAAAGAGTTTTTTCTACACTCGTTACCTCTCTGTCACAGCACAAGGCTATAAGATTGCCATTCTTCCACAAGATTTTGAATGAATTTATTGTGAAGCCAGTTCAATTTTTTTTTTTATGCATTTCAATAGTATTTAATAAATGTATTTAATCAAATACCTTTTAAGATTTTTTTAAATTTTTTTATATTTCCTAGATTATAATTTTGTTTGTAAGAATTTCACAATTTATCTTTTATCACTCAAAGATATACTAAAATATATATTTTTTTATATTTACCTTGTAGGCTCTTTTTTGTGTTGGTTCCTTTTTCAGCAGTTCTGAGAAATCTAAAACTGAATGGTTAAAATATGAAAACAAACAAGCCAAAGGTATGAAGTTTGGAACGGTTATGATTAATCTCTTATTTCACACATGATGATAAGAGTGATTCAAATGCATTTTGATTTACTAGTAGAGTTTACTGTTGTATTTTTTATATTTACATTCTTTGATTTTAGCATTTCAATATGTTTTGTTGTTTTTCATTACTTTCCATATTTCATTTGTACTTTTTGTATTTAAAATATTTGTTTATGTAGCTCCCTTGCCAACTTATGTGCTTGGTGCTAATAAACCAGAGGTCACAGGAATGTTCTCAAAGTCTTGCAATGGGTATGAAATGGCAGAGAATATAACATATCTAGGTGAGTAAGGTTCAATACTTATTAGAGTAGAGGAGCAGGAAATTTGGGAATGGTTCTCCAATCATCACATCACATGCAAACTGCTCCATTTCTTAAGTCATCAGTGTATATAGGACACTCAGATGTACTTCCTGTTTTTTAACTGTCAAAATTGTACAGTTACATTTTCATGCTGCTAATATTGTCATATTTCAAAACTGTTTCTGTTGCTTTTCATAAATCTAGATTCATCCAATCATAGATGACTACTAACCTTTATGACTGAATACCTCAGTACCCCAGGTTTAAGCACAGATACACAAATCATTAGGTGGTGTGGTTACTGTATACTGTATTTAGCAATTGTAATGTAGTGGGAGGGGCGAGTAGCTGAGCGGTAAGTAGGGATGCCATCAACTGCAGCCTTATGATTGCTGCTGGTTCAAGACCTTTACCACCAAGATTTTGGTTGGTAGAACAAAGCATTTCTTGGCTAAGGACTTAAAACCGTGTACTGTACACATTTAATGCTACAGTAATCACAGACCACGTCTGTACCCAATTCAGCACAATGATGCTTTACCTTCTACGGCACCACAAGCAACAACTGTTAGATTGGCACCATAGAAACGGAATGAATGATTGATTGATTCTATAATACATGCTTATATTTATGTTTTATTCAATTATCAGTCAATTGAGCAATTAATTTAGTCTGTTTTTAGTTTTAGTGATTACTTATAACTATCATTATTAGGTCGAAAGGGTGTAATGAACATGATGTCTGGTCTGCAGGTAGCCTACCTCAGTGGCATTGAACAGGAGAGTAGTGGGCCAAGTGAAGCACACAGCTTTGCAGAGCAAGATATCAATGAGCTAGCTATGCCCTTGGTTTCAAATTCATCCTTCAAAGGAGTCGATATTTTGATAACATCACAGTGGCCTCGAAATGTTGAAAAACACGCAGTTAAACCGGTAAGTCTGTAGGGTTAAGATTTCTCTACACTAGCATCAAGTTGTTTGAAGCAGTATCTGTGATTTGGCCATATATGGGCATGATGATTTCAAATCACACTCATTGGCGATTTCAGTCAGGAATTTGGTAGTATGGAAAGAGCTTTAATGACAGTTAACTCAAATATGTATTTCCTAATAGTACATAAGTATCAGTAGAGGTGGTTTGGCACAGTGGAAGTGGTGTAAATTCCTAACCTCGAGGTCGGGGTTTTAATCCTTCGTTGTGTGTTTCGCTTTGAGTCCTTGAGCAAGGCACTTTATCCACATTGCTTCAGTATACCCAGCTGTATCAATGGGTACCAGAAAATAGCCAGGAGTAACATGTGGGGGACCATCATCCAACCCTGGGGGAGCATCACACTCCCATTCACTTCACGCTACTACATAAATATCAGCTATTTTTTTTGTATTTTACCAGCTTAATTTTTTCTAAGCTCCTGTACGCTTCATGGTGTAACTCATTTCAGCCGAGTCAACATTAATATGTGGCAAAGACAAGCCAAACCAGTCACTCGTCCCAAATCCTGTTTTAGAGATAATAGCCAAAACATGCTGGAATGTCAACATTTTTTAAATCTACTTTATTGCACTAAACTAACCTTTATATATATCATGCTAAGTTGTTATTTTCCCCGTTTTCAATGTTAAAACAAAATTTAACGATTTAGTGATGGTTTCTTCCCGAGAAATGCCCGAAATCATAACTTTGAAGGCTGAAAATATTGTTTATTAAACAGCTGTATTTTTAAACGCCTGTAACTTCATAACAAAATATCAGATTTAAATGATTCTTTTACCATTTTATAGCTCTCATTTTACTGTTCAATACTGTTTCAATAACTAAATATCGATTTTTGTGACAAGTGACTGGTTTGGCTTGTCTTTGCTACATATAATAATTGTAATAGACACTGCCCGATCTAGTTTGTATAAACTTATTTTAAATTCTATCATTCAGGAAGGACCAGGATCCGATAAATCTGGGTCAAGAAAACTTGCAGCACTCACTTTGTCACTGCAACCAAGGTATCACTTTGCAGGCCTAGAGGATGTCTACTATGAAAGGGCACCTTACAGAAATCACCAAGTTCTAAAAGATAAACAACGTCATGTAACAAGATTTATCAGCTTAGCCAGTGTTGCAAACATAGCGAAGAAAAAGGTGGAGTGAAATAATAATATGATAAGGCCAAAAAAAAGTTTTGTCACCCAAGCACAGTTCCAATTGAAAATCAGGGTCGGTTGGTTGGTTTGTCTGAATTTAATAAATTTTTTTTAGTACTATAGGATTAATTAGTAATCTCTGCAAAGATATATTCTGTATGAAATAGATTGAACCGTGTAGTACACAGATGGGCAAAGTGTGGCTCGCAGACCATATGCAGCCTGCAAAATTATAATGAAAATCGATGTGTGAGATTTGCTGACTATCTTTGGCAAGAAAAGTTGTGTTTTTTAAGGCCCGACACTGATCATCTGTTAAAAAGAGTATTAAAACTGAGCATAAATTGGTATAAAAACAGTGCATGGAGGTTTTTGGAAGCCCTTTGTGTTGAATAAAAAGTCACTTTATCCCGCTGACACATATTTATGCCCATTTCTGATGTACATACAGAACAAATAAACAGAATTTGAACCCAGCTTATTTACAGTAAATTATCTTGTTTCTTATAGTATTTATATGCTTTCAACATAGTTCCAATGAGCAAACTCACACATGCAGAGCTTGTAGTTCAACCACCAGACGTGACGGAATGCCCGTTCCAAAATATTTCTACAGAAAGACGGAAAGAGCCACAGGTGAGAAACGTTTTCATTGACTTGAGCAAACTAATTAATCTGCTCAAAGCATGCCAGAGCCAAATTTATAATTCTCTGATTTTTTGGAATTGGGAACCACTGTATAGTTAGGTTCACACTAGAGCCTTAATATCAAGATCGGGAATTGTCAGCACAATTGTGAGAACGCCCGATCAATTAGCTCTAACCATTTCCATGAAATAGATACTCTATTGGTTAGTTAGCACTATCGGTAAGCAAGTAGACCTCATTTCTATCATGAACCAATCAGACGTACGCATTTCCAATTTCCTGTAAGCCAGTGATCCCACCGCCATCTTCTTAATACCTGATTCAGGGATTTTCTTGTACGAACGCACAGGAGGTGAAATACTAATAAATAAATAAATTAATAATAATATGCGGCAAGTCTACTTCTTGTATGTCTATTTTTATAATGTAGAAATGTCTGTTTTTCTTGCAGGAGGCAGATATGTCAAATCAGTACTTTTTTTCAACGGATCAACCTCAGGCAAGCCAAAAGCGACAGAGAGATCATCAAGGTGGATCAGGGTCAAGAAAGCCTAGGAAACATCGTAAGAAAACATTTTAATGTTAAATGATAACAATGAAACTATAATAGTTCAAATGAATATAAAGAAAATAATGTACGGATAACTAATGTTAATAATAACAATATTGCTCCATTTACCCCCGGCCCTTGAATCTAAACACCTATGGAGCACATCCACAGCTCCTCTCCTTGGGGTGCACCATTCTATAAGCAGCTAACACTATTACTGTATTTAGAATGATCCCTCCCATGTACCAAATTATACTCCTAAATGGAAGGAAACAAACATACATAAGTCTCTGTCCAAGACACAACGAGTGACTTGTTCAGTAAATGTTTCAAACCATTACCACAAGGTTATGAGTCACAACTGCTGTACCAACCCCTTGTAAATCTATCTAGGACGAGTCAAATGGCCGAGCGGTTAGCAGGGGCGCCTCAAGCTGCGAGCCATAAATATCGGCGCTGGTTCGAATGACACGCTCGCCTATGGTTCTGGTGGTCTTCTCGGATAAGGACGATATACCGTAGACCTAGTGTATACAATGGCTCGTGTGCACTGTAAAGAAGCCAGCACATCCTTCATGATGATTAGGGGGATACCCCAGTGTACTGGAACAGACAGCCCCTGTGGTGGACAACAAGAGTTTCTGGTACCGGGTTACTGGGTAGTAGCACAGACACAAAGGGACCCTCAGGGGTGAAGAAAGTCATTGATGGAGTTCCTAGTCCACATATCAAGCGCTCTGAGCATCTTATGTTAGATGGATATGGTGGCGCTATATAAAACTACACTATTACTATTACTATTATCTAATATAGCAGCCTCAGACATAGGCGTCACAAATGCACATGTTCACATAGAATATGCTGTCATTTTGTGTGACCTTAGGATCAGTGGCGGCTCTAGGATATATTTTCTGGGGGGGCTAAGTTGTCCGACAGGGGGGACTTGAGCTCGTAGGCTCGAGCTGGAGGAAGGGGTTGAGAGGGAGTTCGCCCTCCCAAATGAGATTTTTTTAAAGAATATCAACCTCTGGATGGCCGAAAATGGCACTCTCAGACTGTGACAGACATGTGTTGGCTTGGTGTGGGCCTATTTTTATATGTTTTATGGTCTGACTGCCTGACGAGCTCTGTCCGGCGGGGGGGCTTGACCTGTACAGTGGTGGGACTTAAGCCCCCCGCTGGCGCCACCACTACTTAGGATCTGTATCCAAGTGGTGAAACTTTGCAGAAGATCTATTATACTGATAACTGATAATAATTATGATTATTTCTTTCTTGACATTAACAGCAAAACCCAGTGGTCCTTGTTGGTTCTGTCTCGGAAGCCCAGAAGTCGAGAAACATTTAGTAGTGAGTGTTGGAATAACAGTAAGTTTAAGACAACCTATATCTACTTCAGGAAGAATTGATCAACACAATCTGCACCCTCATTTGTGTTGCATGGGCTGGGGAGTATTCTAGCCGCTGTGTGATTTAGCATTACCAGTTTCATTCCAAAAAAAGGATATTAACCTTTTTAGGCTGGTGGCCAGTTCCAATCTGTTGAGACCAGCAGCGGGCCAACATAAATTGTGTACTGCCAATATCAGCCCCACCCATTCTCTTTTATAGTTGTAAGTCTTCCTAATAGGCCTATTATTAGCCTTGTTTTTTTTATGTAAAAATGAGGGAATGCAGTAGTATGGGACAGGGTGGGGGATAAAAAAACTAGTTTTCTTACTCTATCACTATAAATTTTCTGAGCACAAAAAGTTCACTCATGCAGGCCTGCTAAGTAGTTAAACACAGTCACAGCAACAAAAATTCCCCAGCAGGTTGTCTGATACCACCCAAAATGGCTCAGAATCCCACTGAATCCTTTGTCCCCCCTGCAGTCTCCCCCTCCTCATGTCAATACTCTAGCCACTAGATACAGTGAGCAACACTCAGAAAAAAACCAGACTTTCGTTGTAATGCCAGAGTAGGTGGTAAAGTCTCTATTAACAGAAAAAAAATTTGTAAGTACTGAAAATCGGCCGGAAAAAAAGCTTTGGAGGGCCGGAGTTGGCCTGCGGGCTGGGGGTTTAATACCAGGGCATTATACTCCCAGGTGAAGAGAGGCAAATGTAGATAGTGTGTGTCTTGCCACAAGATACAAACAATGTGACCTGCGTTATTTTCTCATGCCCTCTTAGTCAAAAGCCTAAATAATACAATCATTAGATAATAACAATAATAGTCATTCCTGGTAATAATACTGTAGCACACAGTATAAATTAGCTGAAAAATTATTCAATTTGTTTTCTAGAAAATTCATCACCGTTATGTTTGTTTCACTTTGTTTGCAGACATATCTTGCTCTTGCAAAAGGGGGCCTTGTTCCTGATCATGTGATGATCTTACCTATAGGTCATTTCCAGTCACAAGTTGACCTTCCACAGGTAAATGAGTCACATTTTCTTACCGTTTGCTTTCTAAATATGCACTAGCAGAGCAGCATATGGTGGTAACCACTCACTGTGCACTGAACCATGGAGATTTCTGTGATGTGGTTCGACTCCAAGCTGCAGTCTTTATAAACACAGGTTATATTTCAGAAGAGATGTTTAAGCTTGTAGGTCTGTGTACAAAAAATTGCCCATTTGCACTTTAAAGAATTCTGTACACTCTTCTAACTATTGTAGGAGCTGTCTCCCGGTGTATTGCCCATTTCGTCATCAATGGTGATTCTGCCCGCATTATTTTTTTTTCCCATACAGTTAAGGCACAAATTATAGAGGGTGCTATTTCAGGTTATTTAGGTGAACTGATAACATGAATATGCATGTTTGACTGCCCCCTCGTGAGTTGCAAAAGCAGTGTTCGCAGCCTGTGAGACATGAAAGCTACGGCGTAACAGTAGTAGGGTAGGCCAAAATCTCTTGGTAGTCGGTCGAGACAGTGTAGTCGACTCAGTGAAAATTAACAGACTATTAGTATTGTAATTAAAGTATAAAATGCAGCTTTGAATCTGGTCGGTTATTTGAGTAGTAGTGTTAAAAGTATAGCATATTTACTAACTGCTATGTAGTACTACTGACCCTGAAGGATATAAAAACTTTCAAGAAATGCTCGGACACAGGTATTAAGACAATTCTATGTATTGTTTTAATGTTGATTTCTCACAAACATTTCATTCATATTCAATATGAATAAAGTAATAGGCATAGATTTATATAGCAAGCAGATATATTTAAATATTAATTTTACCAAATCCGACCAAATTATTTACGCATGCTATGACCGTTTATTACAGGCTGTCTACCAAATTGAAAAAACATGAATAGCTTATTTAAAACGATTAAAATCAGATGAAAGTAAAAAATAACTTTTACTGACTTACAGTCGGTTCTACAAAAATCCTTAAATGTTACCAGCCAATGAATCATGCAAAAGAATACAGAAAATAAGCTCTCAGTCTGTAAATTTGATACAGATTTGAATGGGATCTTTCTTTTTCTCATTACAATTATTAATTGTAAAATTGTAAGCTAACAACTGTGTGCGAAGTACTCGTAGTTTGTCTCTGAGCATTTCTCAACGTTTATCCTTCAGAATCAGTACTACTACAGGGGGCATACAATTGCTACAAGACATATCATATCTAAGCTTATATGCTTACACTGTAGACCTAGTGAAATAGCCAGTTCAATATTACTGTGCTTTTTTATATTTCAAAGACCCTGCTGTCTAAAGGGGCCCAGTTTAATATTTTAGATAATCGGGTCAGATTCTAGATGGGAGGAGGTACAATCTTGCCTGTATCCATTTATTAAAGCCACTGTTATTGGTGTTTATGTTATAATGCTATTTTCTCAGGATGTGTCCGATGAGATAAGCAAGTATAAGAAAGCTTTATCCAAGTACTTCAGATCAAGGAATAAATCATATGTAATATTTGAAAGGAACTTTAAGTCACAACATCTACAGTTACAGGTAAATATAATCATAAGTTACCATGCTAGTTACCTCCCTTCTACATCCACTGTTGTGATAAAAAACAACTTCACTATGAATGTGAAATTTGTTTAGATCATTATAGAGCGAGAAGTGACAAAAGTTCAACTTCCTTCCTGCACTAATACCATGCAATTTAAAGCTACGTTCACATTAAGCCCGGATCCGGTCCAGACTCCTGACAAAAAATCGTGAGTTGCTGCGTTTTTTGAACACTGCGTTCGCATCGTGTTCAGGTTAAGTACGTATGCGTTCGATTGGTTCAAACCAACCAAGCTTGTTGCTGATTGGTCCAAGAAAAAAAAACGTATGATTTCAGGATACAAATGACTCTCAGATCCACTGCCACATTTTTCACGATTTTTTCTCCGGACTCTGGGCCGGAACCGGGCTTGATGTGACCGTAGCTTATGGCAAGTCCTTTGATCAAGTTTATAGACAACAATACATACCTAGGAGAATTTACATTGGGATGGGATGCTGATGGTGAAGGGTGCGACTGGGGAGCATGTAGCTTAATTTGGGGTGCTCAATATTAAGTAAGGGAAATTAATTTGAAGTGATTTTTAACTACTTGATGTAATTTTTAGTGAAGGCACCTTGGGGTGGGGGATGGATAGTGCAAGCTTTTTTTCTGGGTGGGGAGGTGGGGCTTCTTTCTGTGGAAGAAACTTTATGTATTTCATTATAATTTTTCTTTCAATTTTTCTATTAGGTGGTACCAATTGAAAATCAAGATGACATAGACATCAAGGACATCAAGGAAGCTCTGTTAGAATACAGCATGAAACAGGATATAGAAGTAAATGAAATCCCTGTACACAGTGATCTGAAACAGGTACGTAATCACTTGTTACCAACTGCTCAAGTCTCGATCCTCTTGTGTAAAACCAGGCTTAGATTTTACAAATCCTAAACCTTTATTTTCTCCTTCCTCATACTTTGCTATTTTTTCTGCTTTTTCAACCAGTAATTACAGTATTTCTATTGTATTCGTTTTCTGTTTATTAAATGTACAGATACATAAGTTGTATGTATTATATACAGCAAGTGTACAGCTGTTGACTAGATCTAATGATGATGTGCAGAACATGCAGTGCATAAAGGCCATGATGTATGATGGCCTGTATATGACTGGCATATTATGGTTATTAAATCTAACGTGTAGTTTTGATTTTATTGCTAATCTAGATAGTCTCATTGGGTGCTCCATATTTCTATGTTGAACTAGATGGTGGAGAGAAACTTCTTCATCGTATTAAAAAGTTCTTTCCATTGCAGTTTGGAAGGTTAGTATTGTACAGTATACTGAAATGTAAACCACAAAAATTGAGGTTTCATTTCCAAAGGTTTATGCCAGTATGTTGATATTGTATCTATGTACAGTATAAATGGTAATGATGATAGTAATGAGAGTAAAGATGATGAATAATAATTTGCATTTCTTTCAGTGACTAACAAATATTACAAACACCTCACTGTACATTTTGCTTGTGTCCATGGACAAAGCACTTTACCTACAGTTGTCTGTCTGTCTCTCTCTCTCTCTACCCAGGGGTATATTAAAGTGGGTAGCTGGTAGATTAAAACACCTAAAGGCATTTTTGGCATGATTTGCTATATGGCTGACATACAGTATTATAGTAAGATAGCAAGTGTATATAAACTGCCTTGCACATCTTTCTTTATTTGTGTGCCACATCTTGGCAGTGTGTGAATAACTTCATAAGACTAACATATTACATTGAGGCTCAGTTGCTACACAATACAAGTAGGATTAATAAGATATGGGGGTGGGGGGTTCCCTCAAAAATTAGATTGGGCCAAGCCACAGCAACCCCTGGTTACAGACCACCAGTAATATAATATACAGCAATCATAGAAATAATGTTTCATGATATATCCAAGATTTTAAATGTTTATTACATTGATTATCATTCTATTTTGTCCTTCAGAGAGGCTCTTGCATGCCCTGCCCTACTCAACATGCCAGACAGGGCAAACTGGAAATCATGCTCCATATCTAAGGAAGAAGAGTCAGAACATGCAGCCTTATTTAGGAAACAATTTAAAGAATATGATTTTAATTTGTAGATCATTAACCCAGTAAGTTTTATAGCATCACAAATAAAATAAATCTGTATTTTATTTATTATAAATTGTAAATAATAACGTATCCTGGTCTAATGACAACAAAACTTCAGTTCCAATCTCTGTACTGAATATACCCACAGAATCTAGAGTTCTTTAAAGGAACCCGGCTGTTTTAATCCTTTATATAGATATTCTGTCTGTGTTCAACTATTGAACTTTTGTTAATTTTTTTAATAAAAAAAAATGTTTGAATTGCTCACTTTGTAGTTTCTTTCAATTTAGAAAAAAAAATCTCACTAATCCACAGATGCATAACTATCATTCCTGTATTCCTTGCATAGATTTATGTCAAAGAGTAAATAATGGCAAGGTTACATAAATAGCAGAAAATAGTTTGCATTAAATTTGATGGAATGTCCGCCCTCTCTAGAATGGAGGAAAATTATTTCGTGGAGTGGAGAAATTAATGAAAACAAACGAACCAGAGTTATCCAACCAAGCAAAGATATAGCGCCGCCGTGCGGATGGAGGAAAATTGCTCTCTTGGATGCCCTCATGGGGCATTTCACTATATCGCAAACTGCTCTATCTTTTGCTATTTATAATCTTTGATAATGGCAAGAGGTCCGACTCCTGATTTTGCTTCCACCAAGGAGGTATTATATAATACCTCCATGCTTGCACGCAATAAAAAACACAAAATGCAGTACTACATAGAGTTAGAAATTTGAACAAGTGTTCTTTACTAACAGCGTGCGTTTAATGCGAAACACTTTATATGTATATATATATATTTTTTTGGAGATCATTTTGGTAGTACTTTCAAGATAGGATTGCGTTTCAAAGGAACCCAAGATTCAGACCTCTTGCCATTTTGTACTCTTTGCTTTTATTGGCTGGCAGAATATTTAAAGGTAATTATAGTAAAAATTATGCAAATCAGCATTTTTTTTCTGTCTCTCAATGGCAGCTGAATAGTTATGTTTGGTATTATTTTTGACAGACAATAATTATACTTTACTGTAATACCGTGTTTGTACATTAATAATAATCAAACAATGGAAAACAAAAAATAGTATTTTTGTAACAGTTTTACTGATTGAAATTTAATAATAAATGTACAAGTGGTTATATATACAGGAGTATTCAGATATTTTCTTTCTGTAAAGTCATTTTCTTTTTTTAGTAATACTGTACCTGTATAGGTGGATATTTTTTTTAAAGTGACATACTGCACAGTATTACTACGCAAGTATGTATGACCAATGATTTAAACTATTTTCAGAAGCCTCATCAACCAAGAGAATGTGTTACTTATAGCATTAAACATTGAACTGCAGATCAACCAATAAATCAAAGTTAGAAAAGCCAGTTCGGAGATATAATAAAGTAAACAATAGTTCTATTTCACAATAAAACTGACATATTCTTTTTACTATTATTGTCTAAAAATATCAATATCCATCCAGATATTTCCTTGACTAGCTTTGGACAAAGTAATCAGTTCTGTAATTCAATTTCACATCAACAGTGTTCTCCAGCTCTTGGTGATGGTGGTTGTCCCACTCTTGATTTTAGCATATCGTTTTCTATATCATAATATGTAAATTCATTATGTTGATAATATTGGCCTGATTCGTAAGTGTTTCCGGACGTCACTTGAGATTCGCCACTTGGTTTTCCTGCATAAAAAAAAATTAATTGAATGAATAAATACAATATAATCAAAAGAAAGTCATTCATTAGACAGCAGACAATATTATGGTATGTTGACTGTTAGAGCATCAAACCAACAAGGTATCCATGGACTCAACATAATTTTACCCACCAATGACAGTATTGAACTCCACCGTAAAATATATGGTATTTAGATATGTTTGGAATAAACCTATTTAGCACTCAGGAAACTCATTTTTCTTAATGTATTCCACGCAAGCTGTATGACCAATAATGATTTGGTATACAGTATTATCTTTCCACATGCTTAATCACAAAACTAACCTTTAGAAGCTTGTGGTTTTGTGACTTTCTTAGGAGGTTCTGTTGGAGTTTTAGACGTACTGTAGGATGCTCTGCATACATTTGGTGGTGACTTCTGAAATACAAATTAAGAATTTCTTATAAATATCCAATGTACTAGGCCCCCGGCCCCTACTGCATAATTAATATTATTAATAATATATAATATATATTACACAACACTACTAACATTTAGGCCATGGGAATTAAAGTAAGAGGTGATACAGACTTCATTTCAAACTGGTGTAACTGTAGCCACTGCCTACTATTAATAGAAATTAGCCCCTCCTTTTAACCATTGAAGTTATTATAAATTTGCTACAGCTGAAATAGGCTATTCATCATTAATATATATTATATCAAACAAATGATTGTTAAGTAACTGAGAAATTGCTTTATTTTAACAGCATTGTTTATCTTATTTAACTTTAGGCAAGGTCTAGGCTAGGGCCTATTTATAGGGGCTATGATCTAATAATATAATTATAATACTCATTGATTACAAAAATTGGGCTAGGTAAGTATTTCCTGATCCGGGTTAGGGACAGGACAGGGCCTGATGAGTCGCTAGCTAGAGCCTTATTATTTAGGCTTTAGAACCAGGCTAGGGCCTATGCCTACCCTAACCCAGCCCTAGGCCCTAGGCCTAGGCCTAGATCGAGAAACGTAATTTAGCTAGCCTACAAGCTAAACGCAGCAAAGTGAAATTAACCGAAAATAAATTGTTAATATATTTGTTTACGGATGCACTAGGCCTAGATGGTATTTCAATTATAACTTACCAGTGTCACTGAAAGTAATTTCTGAAATTGAAACCGGTACATCGCAGCAGCCATTTTGCGAGTGGATTTTGTTTGTTGCCTCGTCACACACTTACTTGCAATGGTGATGATGTACGATAATAATTGGAGAAATCGTCATTGAAGAAAATATTAAAAGAGCGACGATGAGTTTTACGCATTAAAAAATTTGGCTATTTTTGCACATGTGTGCTTGCCTTTTTATCCTCCCATGATGTCTCGTTCAACAAAAGAAGTAACTACTATTTTGAAGTGAGTTTCCTTAGCTAAGCATAACGTTTTTTTTTCATTCTGATCTTAAAAACGCTGGTAAATCAAACTGAAGTACGCTAGGCCCAGCCAGTGGTTTAGAGATAAGACCGGTGAACAGATAGAAAGGGGCGCGAAGGCCATATACCTAGGGCTATGCTAGGCCTATCCCATGCATCACCAGTCAACTCGCCCTTTGCGAACTTCCCCCTCCCCCTTAACAAAGTCGCAATTTATTTTTAATGCTTTGTAACTGTCATCGCTACAGCATCATATTATTATTTTTTTTTAATGTTATTAGGCTTACATTTCAGGATTTATTAAGATAAATACAACAAAAAGCTGGCACTCCAAGCTGGATTACCAAAAATTTAAAACACTATTGTATTGGGATCGCCAAGGCAAAAGAACAAATATTAGCAAAAACCAAGATTAAAACAACATAATAATACATAATCCTAGGTATGCCTAGTCAGTGGCACTAGTGGCGTAACGCCTACTGTGTGCTACAGTATGTGCTCTCGTCCACAGATCCCAGACAATTAGGGGGCACGGGGCCCCTAACAACATATGATCTTCGATCTAGCGCCTTGACCCAAAAGGGCTTTCTTGATACTGTACAGCATAATGTGTCTCTGAAATCGACTGTGTGGAAACTGTCATATTATATCCAGTTGCATTAAAGTGGGTGGTGACAGGTCTGGGTTCCAACCAAAATCTGTTAAAAAAAATTTAAAATGGAGATAAAAAGAAACTTATAATATTATTCAAATGTCTGTGAGTGTCATTTTCGTCCATCTAGAAGTTCCATAATCATAAATTCTCTTACCTCAGCCCCACCATGGTTGCCCTCCATCTGCGAAAGCCCATTTTTCGGCGTTAAAAACATTTAGAATACAATGAAAAAAACATGATTAAAACACGAGAAAATCTAAAAACCCACAATGGAATTGGCAAGCCAAGACCCTGGAGGGGTCCCCCAATCTAAGAGGGCCCCCGGCCCCAGAATTATGCCGCAGGCCCTAGTACAAAAATAAGAATGAGAAGTAGGCCTAGGCCCTAGATAATAAGTATAAAGAAAAATTCAACAATAAATTGAAAAAAATACATTTAGTTTTTTTGAATACAGTAATGCAATACATAGAGTAATTATATACAGTAATTATGTGTTAAAATACAAAAAAAAAAAAAATGAAAAGTGCTTTTATCTTAATGAAATAGCACTAAATGTAATGTAATGTATGTATATAAAACAAGTTTGTGGGTGGCAGAGTTTGCAGGGGGAAAGTTTGCAGGGAGCGACTTTGTCTTTGTACATTCACCAGTGAGTTGCAATGGACAAGTTTTTTGCTGGGGGGGGGGGCGAGTTGGCTCCTAACTCTGACCGCAAATCTCTTTAATCTAACCAGTAGTAAGACCTGTCATGAGGCCACTCATCAGCAATACTGCTCATATGATTAAATGAGCAGTTGATCATTTGAAGTTTGCATAAACTTTCGTTGCACAGTTTGCAAATAGTCCTTGTATTTTAAAACTCTGGATTCTTCTTGCACAGTTTGCAAACTTTGCAGGGATATGCTTATCGACAAACTCGAACTGTAAACAACAGGTATATGCAGACTTCTCAAGTACTATGGAACTTCCGTAGTTGCTACAGAGATTTTGCCTAATTACAGACATACAAAAATAGACAAAAATACTACAAAATTTTTCATAGGCCTAGACCAATAAATAAATAGGTCTAGAACAAATGACTTTTCCATCAGGATCTTTGATTACATTGTCCTTAGACAACTGTAAAATTACTGATGAATTATTGTGAAAACTATAAAAAAAAATTGGCCTGTAAATCTTCATCCTGTCCCTCTTTGTTTGAAATTCAACAGCTGTTATTATCCTGTACTTGTAATTTAAGCAACCCATATTTTGCGTTCATGACAAATTATTAGGTGCTACGGAAATGTTGTATTTACTATGGATATTTTAAGACTTTTGCAATGAATTTTTTATTAATTAATCAAATAATTACTTTGATTTCTCAGCATTTTGAGTGAAGAGTCTGTCAATAACACTTCATTTGAGAATCTAGCACATGCCTTTCATGAAGCTTTTCCCAAGTCAGAGCATTTTAATGTTGGAACATTTCTGGTGAGTGGCCTATTTTGTTGGACGGCATGCGATGCGACAATGTTATACGATCGTTTTGCTTTAGACGCATCATTTAAAGATCTTTATGACGAAAAGGTTCAAAATTTGTTGCATTCTTCACAGTATTTTTTACTTTTTAGCTGTAAACACATTTATGGTGGTAAAAAAAAACAAAACTTTTCCTACCGACCCACCCATTTTTTGGATTTTCCCAAAAAGTGGCCAACACAAGATTTTTTTTTTTTTGGCCTTATACATACAGCACATTTTGTGCATAAATAATAAAACAAAAACCATGATGACTTGACAATAAACTAATAAGGTGTGGTGAATATGTCATTCAATCATCTAACTCTTTTTTTTCCTTTCTATTCCAAAAAGGTTCTACTTCTTCACAATCCTGACTTCCTACCGACTGGTCCTCAGCGTTTGACAGCTCTGTTCTTACTATGGGAGATGTACCGCAATGAGCCCATTGGCTCTAACCCATTTGCTCCAATTTTTGTACACCTGCTGGTAATATTCTAAGAAAGAATTTTATAAACAAATAATCATCCATTTGAATTAAGTAGATTTTTAATAATAATAATAATGTCTATGATGGCCATGACAAAAATAATAATTTATTGTAAAGTAAATGTATTACGAGATAATGGATAGAAGAAATGAGTTTTTTAAATTTAAATGATTATAACAAAATAATGTAATTATTACAATGATCAGTAAATGTATACATTATGTAAATAAACAAATGTATCTGTGATAAAAAGAAAACAAGACAATTTATTACTACAAACAAGAAGAATAGCACAAAAATATCTCATAGGAGTAATGTTTTGCCCTACTTGATGTGTTTCACTGAATACTCAGTACATTCCCAGTTGCTTGTGAAAAAAATCTCACAAGTTAATCAGGTGGAAATCAAACCCACGACCTACAGATAACTAGCCTGGTGTCTTAACCACTAGACCACCGAGCCAAATATCTCATTTATTTTTTTTTTGTCTTGTAGGGTAACTTGGAGGATGCTCACAATGGTCTCAATCTTATGCCTCCAATCAGTCAATCTGAAAAGTACTTTCTTTCGCAAATTCTGGATGTAACATCTCCATCGAGAGAGGTATTACTGTATTTATTGTATGTTTTTTACTAATTACATTGATATCTTCAATGTTTTTTTATGACACCTAATTGTAACAATTTTTGGGCATATTTTGTATTTGCAGCTTTTCAAGAAAGTTCCAAGACAGATCGTTGCAATGGATTTAGGCCCGAATGCTCCAATTATAGATATAAGTGAGTTGCAGTTAGCATTGGCACGGAAGCACTCTGAGCTCCCTCAAGTTAGTAAGGTAGCCGTTCCTTGTATAATGAGTGATCCAGATCCTGACGTCAGGTAATTTATAGTCAGAAGTCCAAAATGTTTGTTTGAAGTTTAAAGTATTTTTTTTTTGTCAGCAGTACTACTCTGTTAGATCTGTTTTATCAATGAGCTTTTCTAAAAACATGCAAATTTCGTGAATATGCAGGAGATGGGTTATATTCCGGGATATCCTTGCTTGTTTGTAGGAGTGCAGGTGCCTTCCCAGTTTCTGGGAGACTCCCGCAACATGCGGGAGACTTGAAGCCGCTGCACATACATGACATTGGAATTGTGCATGTTTACAACATTATGCAAAACATTGATATGAAAGAACTCTGAGGGTAAAAAATGGAATTCCTACACCCAACATGACCTCTTTTTGTTATACAAATGGCATATTTTTTAGACAGGTTTTCATGAACAAGAGCGCACTCTCACTGGTCTGTGTGTTCCTCCATGTTTAGATTCGGTACAGGCGCAAGTTATTATATTGGGTTTTTTGGAAGAGCTAATAAGATAAAATTTTATAAGTAATTAGGATGTTTATTTGTACAAAAAAAATATTATTTAGAATATTCATTTGTACAAAATTAAAATATCCTAAAATTGAAAAAAATTTAATTAAAAAAAAATGAATATCAAGACGCGATTCAAACTTAAGTTCTTTAGAACACATCCTTAACCGACCACACATCCATGTGACGTGCCCTAATAGTGTACAGTCCTTGCTGAAACCCCTTTTTTGTATTGTAGGTGTAGGGGAATCCTGGGGTCAAACTTAAAAAAGGTGCGATGAACACTTGTCAGAAATCACCTATAGTTTATGTGTACAAAATTTCTTACATGTCTGTTCAAAACTGGAGATGCTGGACGCTTTTAAAATTTTGTTAACAAGAAGGACCCAAAAATATAATGTTCCTCATTATTGTTTTCAGTGCTGAAGTTGATCTTAAAGAAGCAGCAAATGTCCTTGAAAACCTTGGCAGTGGGCCAAATGCACCAATGGAGAAATATTTTCAACCTGAATTTATACGTTTGCCGCCCCCTTTGCATGTTTGTGAAGATGAGGTATGAAGACAGACAATCTACTAAGATAGGTTAATGACGTCACAACAATATGTGACACCCTTTAGTTAGTGAGAAACGCCACCCAAGTTGTTGTGTTTTGGAGTGCTCAACAATAATGCTAATCTACAGTAGCCATGCCTTGCACTGAGCTTGGTAAGTAGTTAGCATTGGCATAACGCCTTGGCTCTTGGTGGTGGGGGGGGGGGAGTGAAGTCCCAGGGTTCCCCCAGTTCAAAGAGGACCTGGAGTGTGTGAAATGAAAGTTGAATCTGCTTTTTATAGTCACTTAATATAACTACTGTGTATTCTTTAATAACAATACTGACATTGCCTTCCATGTCTTTTCAGCCTTAATGTTTATAATGTTCTTAGGTTAGCGAATACTTTACTGAACATTCATGGGCCCAATACACTTTTCCCCACATGCCAACAACTCATTGTTATGCCACTTGTAGTTGCTCTGTAACTAAGCAGTGTGATGTGGTACTCTATATACTGCTTTTCATGCACTAGTTGCTTCTTTGTGTTCCAATTTTTCTCTAGTGTATATGATATTACTATACCAATTGCTTATATTTGTATGTCTTATAATTATGTCTAACTAAAATAATAAGTTTCTTCATTTGTTTAGTTAGTATGGATGAACCCAGTTGAAACTGATATCAAAGTGATGTGGGATTCAACAATGTGCGTGAGTAACACTGCAGGACATGAGGTCAAAAGGTTAATGAGCAAAGCGTTTTCCGGTGCATTGACTGTCCCCCAACAGCAACAACTTCTGCAAGAGCTGGAGAAAGACCCGAAGTTAGTGTATCACATTGGATTGACACCAGCTAAGGTATTTACTGTATTAAATGATGATGAGCCTATTATATTAGTTGTTGTGCGTGAATGTGCCGCAGCATGTTGTGCAATGAATTATTATGTTGTGCATGAATACTGAAAGCTTCTATGACTTAATAAAAATACAAAATGTGTTAAAAAGTAATGACACACCGACACAACAAAATGAAAAACCAACTTAGACAGTGATGTCGACACGATTTATTGTAGAGAACAGTCTTCGGTCGTCGTGAGAAAATTAAACATGTTTAATATCATATAATGGGACTGTTCCCGATGCAGACCTAAGAATTATGGTAGAATTGTTGGTAGAATAAAAAAAGCACTTATTAGGCCTGGGTAGTTTAGGCTGGCCTTCTTTCAATAATTGAACATCATTCCAGTCCAGGCCTAGGCTATGATCATATGTATTGTTTTTTGAAGCCATTGAATTCCGCTTAAAAGAGGCGATACCTCACGATGTGCGCCCTTAGCTGGCTTTATATGGACAAATTTACCAGTAAAAATGTTTCTATTGGGAGAACACTCGCATAGATCTGATGTGTCAACAAATCATGTTAGGATGCATCATATCACACTGCCTGAGTTGGCCTTAAGTGGTCGCCATTCTCCACCAGCACTCTAGAATGATAATAATGATAATATATTATAAAAAATACTATACTTTACATAATTATTGGTTGTGAAATGCTATGAATTTTGATGATATCAAAGTCATTATACAGGTACATAATTATGAATTGATTAAAAAAAAATGCATTATTTATCGAATTTGCATTTTGTTTTTGAAAATGTTTGAACATATTATAAAGTAAAATGTTTTTATAAATTTTGAAATATACTAGAAAATACAACAATACTTTTATGTAGAATATACATCATTATGTCTATAAACCATTCTTATTTTTAGCTACCCAACTTGGTGGAAAATAATCCCTTGATAGCTATTGAAGTACTCCTTAAGTTGATGCAGTCAAATCAGATTACAGAGTATTTCTCTGTACTTGTCAACATGGAAATGTCATTGCATTCAATGGAGGTCGTCAACAGATTAACCAATGTGAGTCTAAAGGAGTTCATTGCTTTCAAACATTTGCTTGTCAAATAATTGTTCAAATGCCCATTTTTGGGTGTAGTATGACATCATCATGCCCATATATGGACACATGACACAAATTTGTCACATCAAATTTGATAGTGTGGACAGAGCTTAAAGCAGGTCATTGCAGGTCATTTCAGAACATTTATTGGAAACCTATTCATCACTGTGACAATCTTTAACCGCTTTTATTGTCATTATAGGCAGCATCATTGTAATCTATTTTTACCTGTCCCTTATTATTTTTTTTTTCATTGTGGACAGCGCCACCAACCAGCAAGTTAATTTACAGACGAAATAAGTGACCCGGATGCCATAAAAATGACATAATCTTTTATTCCGTATTTGGATAAATGTTCGGACCCAAATAAACAATTTCAGCCAATCACAGTGCTCACATTTTCGGAGCTTTGATCATATACTGAAACTGAGTCACTCGCTTCGACTAGTTAGGCAAGGCTAAAAATAGTCCTTCCTAATAAAACGGACCTGAAATATGTAGAATAGACCCTAGAACTGTACTACAAGTGGGCAATAGCTAAGACGAATTGAGCTTAGGCTAGATGGCCCATATTATAAATACAACACCACTTTTCAGGAGGATGGTCCAGGCCTCTATAGAATGCAATTGAGAGAGGCTTGGTTGGTTCTATTTTTAAGTGCTTACTTAATACATTACATTTTTAACAATGTTCTATTCTACCTAGTAAGCCTAAATCTGTCTAGCTTAGCGGGGAGCAGGGTTATCTCAAATTATACGGTTATTTATATCAGTCCATGTCGTTCAGCAAGCCAATACTAAACTGTTTTACTTATAGTAGGTAGGCAAAAAAGGGAGCTGGCCTAGCTTAGCCACCCATTCAAGACATCTTCCATTTGAAAATTATCAAGATTAATTAATATGCATGAAGATAGCCAATCACATGATTTACAAAATCAGTCATGCATACGATTTCCCACATAGAATTTGATGTGGGAAATCGTACACATGAATGATCAGGCAGTGTTTTCCCAGGCCCTAATCTGAAAAAAAGAAAAAGAAAAACAAATCGAGTATGGCATGCCAATTTAATTAGGTGTGGTGCGCACTTAGCGCAATGAAGACTGAGTAACCCAAAATTAGTGCCTGGAACCCAGCCTATACTAGTGTCATTATCACCATCATCACATTATCAATATTCTCCATTTTCATCACCTTCATCATTAAACTTTTAAACTGTTAAACATTGTAACCTTTTTATCATTAATTCATCATCATCATCTTCATCCTATAATGTGCATAAACCTTAAGTGAGTATATTCGCACAGCGTTGGTGGTCAGTTATGTTCACTTGAAATTGAAAATAATAAGATAAGTTAAGATAAGCTTTATTAGTCTATTCACATATAAAAATACATAAACAGAAATGTTTCTTGAATCTGGCAAAAACACATACACATCAACACCAACAAACATCAAATTACAAATGTAAGGAAATTGTAACGCATCTACTCATTACATAATTTAAATATGATATATAAAAATATTTTAAAAATTAATTAAAATTATAGTTACAGTATTATGAAGAATTTCATTTACAACATATTGAATTGGATGTTGATATAAAGTATAATTATTTTACAACAAATTTTATTTACAATAAAGATATTAAAGATAATATTATAATAAAGAATTCAATATCAAAAATATCAATTGCAGTTCAAATATATATCAAAAATATAAAAATTGCACATGAAAACAAGAAAACTCTAACAATTACATACAAACATAACACAAAAATACACCAGGTACATAAAAAATACGTGCAAGTCAAGAATCAATTATAATTAGAAACTACAAAAATAAAAGTACAGGAGTTACAAAAACACCACCACCAAAAGCAATAACATAAAAAACAAAAACTTGACTAGCATACAATGGCGGGGTGAGTTTCCAATCCAAGTCCAATCGTAAAAATCCAGGATATTATTATTTATTATTATTATTATTGCTGCGAAGCAGCCAATTCATATTCTTGACAGCAATTTGACCTCTGAAAGGTCATTGTTTGTCAAAAACAATCGCCTAAGACAACTGAAATGCGGAGTTTCCTTCTTTCGTTCTGCCGGGTAAAATCAATTACTTTAGGCGACGTTTGTAGACTAACCTACTCGTACCAACGTCGGCATGCTGGAGTACTATTCAGCGTTTTTACTATATTTCTAGGTTTCCTATTTCTACGTTTAATCGGCTCATGTCTCAGCCACAATATTTTGAGGCCAATATTATTTACGAACCCAGTTAAACTTATTTACTAGCCTATTTCAACGTGCTAATTATTACATTTAGGCGACGCTTGACTGGCATAGTGTTTTCGGAAATAAATACCATTTTATACACATGCACAGATCGATTCGCCAGCAGCAGCGAGTCGCCAGCAGCAGTGAGTCGCCAGCAGAGAGATGTCACTGCAGCAAAACACTATTGTACACGGTACCAACGCTGTTCTGACAATGGGTCGTGCTCATATTATTTGTTATATTTTTATTATTCATTATTTTCACTTGACTCGCATAGATAATTTTGTTCGAAGAACATTTTATGCAGTTGTACTTCGCAGCACTTCACTTGCAATTTGCAATGTCTAGTTATTATTATTATTATTATTAATGTTTACCATCTGGCAAATGCTTCCACACTGATGTACACAAGGCTCAAATCTCACAACTACAAATTATTTCCTGGATGTTTTTAGGCAAGTTATGGTGCAATGACAGATGCAGCAATCCCATAATTCTCTGTTTTTATCCACAGGCCGTTGAATTGCCACAAGAGTTTGTTCATCTTTACATTTCAAACTGCATATCAACTTGTGAGACAATCAAGGACAAGTACATGCAGAACCGATTAGTACGATTGGTAGGTTTTGAGCAAATACTTTATTTTCACTAAATTCAAGGGGGGGGGGGGTTGGTGGCCAAGCTCCCTGGGCCCCCTAAATTCTTAAAAATTATTTTTAAAAATGGAGAAAAAAATTAAGGTCTGAACATGGACCTATTAATAAGAGAGTGCGATTTCTGGCCATCTAGAGGTGCCATAATCATAAATTTTCTTGCTTAAGCCCCAAACATGGTGGAGGTGAGGTGGTGTAAACTCTCCATCTGTGAAATTCCATCCCAGGACCTCCCCTATTTCGAATTCCTGGACCTGCCATTAATGACAATCCGCTTTAATTAAGTCTGCCATCGACAACCAGCAGACAGCATCATGTCATCAAGCGTTCACCGAAAATGGAGATAGATTCAACGATCGACGGTCATACAACAAATGTACGAGACAATGTGTGCCTGGCTTTGATACTAATAATAATAATACAGTAGAACCCTGATCAAGGGTACACCTTCCGGACCAAAAAAAGTGTCTCCTTAATAGGGGTGTCCCCTGAATAGGGGTACCCCTATTAAGGGGACCCTAACCAAAAATGTGAAATTGTCCCCTTAATAGGGGTTTTTGGAAATTGTATTGATTTGACCATTTTGCACACTCAAAAAGTGTCCCCATTCCCTTAATAGTGGTTTTCCTTAATAGGGGTTAGCTGTAATGTTAAAAGATATATTGCCCCTTGTTTCACAGACAAGTGTCCCCTTAATTAGGGTGTCCCAAAGGAGGGGTTCTACTGTAATAATAATTATAATAATAAGTGAAATTTGTACATAATACAGAGGTCACTGGTAACTTCAACACTAATCATTGAAACACAGCAGGTGTCTTTGCCATTGCATTTCCAACTAATTTCCACTTAATAAAATTTGTACTGACTGAGTGGAATAATATGTCATTGATTGTTTTAACCAATCAGAATTGACTACACCCATTTCATTTTGCGATACTCATGGATTCAGTCAGTTTATTGATTTTTTTTTATGACTAGATAGAGAAAGTTTTAAAACGATTTAGTTTGCTCAGCTGCTGCTATTCAAATTGTTAGCAAAACAGTTTCAGATCTCAAAGAAAGTCAATAATTATTGATATGATAGACAATGCTAAGTAATTTGAGAATCAGTTGTCTCTGCCTCTTGTACAATTGTTTCACCTAATTGGGGCCAAAGGCAAAGGAGTTCTTATCAGGGTTGGTTCCAATGATATAAGAGATAATCTGGAAAAGCCATGAAACCATTATTCATTTAGACATAGGAAAGCTATGAAAAATAAATTAATAAAATAACATTTTTTAAAGGATACACTATACTATTATATAGATTACATAAACCATAAAACCATAAATGTATTATTTATATTTATTTTAACCTGTTAGTGACTTGTTACATTGGTTAATATGAATAAAATAAAAAAATAAAAATTAATGTACAGTACATATAATAAATAAATAGTAAAAGGTTGATAATGTCACAAACCAACAAAATGTGTGTCATTATCTATTAGAAAGCTTAACTATCAAAAACCTTAATAAATTGTCAATAATAATAATAATAATTTTTGGTATTTATATTGGACCTACTAAAACATCTCAAAGCACATCACATAATTTGCTAATTTTGTAATGGTTTTTTAGGTTGTTATGTTCCATGCACTTTATGTCATGCTTGTTCTTAGTTTAAAATGTATGTTTTATTTTCTTCAAAGGCAATTACAAAAAGCTTTATTTTATTTGTTTCTTGCAGGTTTGTGTTTTTCTGCAGTCTTTAATTAGAAACAAAGTCATCAATGTCAAGGTAGGAGTAAATGGAAATATATGTCCTAGACCAAGGGTGGGCATAAACATGGGTCGGAGGGCCAAAATGAGTTTTTGATTTAACACTGAGGGCCACACCAAAACTTTATTGTTTCCAGTGCTTCCAAAATCCTTAATGGACTGCTTTTATACCACTTTATCAGTTTTAACATTACTTTTTATATGGTATATGTGTCAGGCTGTAAAAAAGGGTTTTTTTAACCAAAGATAGTTGACAGGCCACACACAGACAGGGGCAGATCCAGAAATGTCCAAAAGGGGGGGGGGCGGAAGGGGACCGAAAGTTGGGCCGATTGAGACAACAGTGTCGTAGGGGGTCTGGGGCATGCCCCCGCGAATTTGTTGTGTTCTAGACGCCCGAACATAACATTTTAGGCATTCTGGGCTATCATTCTTTTCTTTTTCTCTCTTTTTTTTTCTTTTTTTTTTACCTCCCAAAAGGGGAGGCCGGGGCTGGTCCCCCGCCCCCTAAATCCGCCCCTGACAGGGTTTTTATTTTTTTCATGGGATGCTACAAAATCACTGTTGGGCAGCATGTGGCCCACGGGCTGCACTTTGCCCACCTGTGACCTAGACTATTGTTGTTAAATGAATAAGTTTTCCATTTTATCTACTATGGTACAGAAATACTAGCATATTGCAAGCTTACCTTTTATTGTAATTATATTTATGGTATTATTTTGTTATATTTAACAGGATTTATTTATTGAGATGCAGGCATTCTGTATCGAATTTAGTCACATTCGCGAAGCAGCTGGTCTCTTCCGATTGCTGAAGACATTAGATAGTGAACAGCAACAACAACAGCAGCAGCAGCAGCCAACAACATCTACTGCAGCTACAGTGAAAAAATGAGGCAAAATATAAGAAAACCTGTTTTTAAAAATCAAAAGGATGACATATACTTTGTTGAAAGTTTGACACTTTCTAAATTAGATACAAATGACAACAAAGCTTATACATTCTTCCCTTGAAGGTAGCTATGTGGTAATAAGCAGCTTTCGATTTGGACGACGCTGCGTTCTACGACTGCGCATGTGAATACATGGGGAAGTCGTTCATTGTGTGGCAACGTGAGTTTTATAAATACACGCTCGCTGGGGGCGCCTGCATAATTGATCACGCGATACAAAAAAGCAAGTCGTCCTGTAAATCGAAACAGCTTTGATGTTGAGACGGGAAGTGCATAGTACGACGTTCATGGTTGACTGAATTCCCCCGTCGCAGCTCCCCGCGTCGCCCATTTCGAAAGCTCGCTAATAGTACTAAATATAGCGGTAGATTTATAAGGCTCGTATTATCATGACCTGTATTTTTATCACATTATTATCCCAATTGTTGGAACAAATATCTATGGAATATACCACATTGTGGCATAAATCCGCGAATGTTGTGTAAAGCCACCAGGTACTAACTTGCACTCCTAGCTGAAGAGAGGCAGTCGTAGGTAAAGTGCCCTGCCCAAGGACACAAGTGAAATTCACAGCTAAGGTTCAAACCTCCGTTCTTAAGTTTAAAATCCCAATTTTGGTAGGAGAGAGAAATAATCAGTTACATTGACTAGAACACTTAGCAATATTTTAATTTTGTATTTACCACTGTGTCACATGCCTAAAATGTATATATAATATATTTGGGTTGTTAGTGCTAATACAATATTGCTTGAGTATGATGATCTGTTTTTTAATTAGTATAAAATAAAACTGATACAGTTTGAAAAGGCTGTTGACTGTGTGGTGAGATATAACATGCATTAACTAAAGGGAAACAAAATAGTTGTATATAGTAGATAAAGAAGTCGAAGTAGCAAGTGTTATTATAAAAGGGTTTCTGACTTTAAATTTCTATGAAAAATATATGTACAGTAGTATGGTTAATTACAAACTTATTTGTAATATTTCTATAACTTCTTTAAGCTCGGTAGTGAAGATTTAGCATTGCAGAGTGGGTATCACAATGGTGCTATTACTTGAAACTTTGTGTTGAAACCAGAAAATTACTGAAAAAAATAAACAGAACAATTTCAGATACTGTAACAATAGTATTTTATTTATTTGTTTTTCTACTACATCGGCAATTTGTTTATCATTTGAAAAAACTACTTCAAATAATAAGTGGAAATTTAAACTCTGGAACCCCCATTTAATACTTGCGTGGTTATTTGTTGCAGTCATTGCATAACAGTATTTATTCTCTGTATCTTTTATTTTGTGTAATGACAGTAATAAATTATTTGCAAACAGTATTGTCATGTCGAAAATAATTTCATAGACTCCTATAAACAAATAAAAGTGGACACTTAATGTTTTGTTTCATTCATTTTCTAGAACTAAAAAAAGATACAACATACGTAATGACAATTGGTGATAAGCGACCTTGTGACTTTAATGATTACTGTAGTTGGCCCTCTTCTATTACGTTTCTTAATTATACAGTACATACGATGTATGTAATTATATATATCTCGCCATAATAAAATATTTATTCAGAATTTTATTATTAAGTCTTCCCTGTACAGTTTTTTCCATACAAATCGGTTTATGCAGACCTATTGCGTGTTTAAAAAGTTGTTTAGTCTTTTCTTTTCTTTTTATCCCTCACTGCATGACATTTGGACTGACTGCTTAGAAAGCCAAGATAAGTAAAAGGAATTGAAATGAAATGACTGGAAAGAAAGGAAAAAGGTAAGGAAAGCGGAAAAGAGAAAAAAGAAAAGGACAAGTTAAGGAAAAGTAAAATAATATAGTATAAGCAAGGAAAGTATAGAAAGGAACTTAGGAAAGGAAAGGCAAATAAAAATATGAATGGTCCTAAGAAAGGGAATAATTATATGAAAGAAAAGAAAAGAACAGAAATAAGAAAGAAAAGGAAAGGATATTCAAGGACCCCTATGAAAGGGTGCAAGAAAAAATAGAAAGAAAGAATGAAATAAATAAAAAGAATAAAATGAGAAGAAAGAAAAGTAAATATAAGAAAAAGGAATGAAAAGAACGAATAATAAGAAAGAAAATGAAAGAATATTCAAGGGCACCTATGAAAAGGTATAAGAATGAAATGGAAATAATGAGAAGGAATTATAAGAAAGGAATTAATTATATGAAAGGAAGGATAAAGAAAGAAAGATAAGAACAGAAAATATAAGAAAGAAAAATTAAAGAAAAGAATGAAACATAAGAAAGAGAAGGAAACGATATTCAAGAACACCTACGAAAGGTGTGAGAAAGATAGAATGAAAGAAAAGAAAAAAAGAACTAAAGCCAAAAGAAAGAAAATGAAAGAAATGAAAAGAAAAGTAAATATAAAAAAGAAAAAGGAATGAAAAGAACGAATTATAAGAAAGAAAAAGAAAGGTTATTCAAAGCAACCTAAGAAATGGTAAAAAGAAAGAAAAGGACAAGAAAGAAAGAATCAGAATACGAAGGAAACGATAAGATAAGATAAAATGAGATATGTATGAAAAAGCATAAGAAATGAAAAGGAAAGAAAAGAAATAAAGTAAATACAAGAAAAATCAAGGTTACATAGGAAACAAAGAAAAAGAAGAAAGATAAGGAAATATTACAAAGGTAATTTAAGCTAAAGAAATAATGCATAAGGAGGCATTAGAAAGAAAGGGGGAAGGAAAAAAAGGTAGTTAAAAGGAAAAGGAAGACGAAAGAAAGAAAAGGTAGGTAAATAGGAATCACGGAAAGTTAAGGAAGCATAGAATGAAAGTAAAAGAGAAGATAAGTAAGTAATTAGACGGATAGTTAATACTAAAATAGAAAACAAAAACAAGGAACGTGAAAGTGAAATATAAGGTCAGCTAACATATTTTTTCCCCTCTAGCCTAGGGTCCTCCTTTCGTTTTGCACTGTTGAAGCTTGTCAACTACTGTGGTAGTCAATGACAAACACTTGTTCTGTCGATTCAGAACGGTTAAGAACTTTATTATTTATTTTGCTATTAGTCGGTCGTGACATTTTAGGTTACAGATACTTCAACCAAAATTGGTACCTCCTGAAAATCCATATTATTTGTTTAGTTGATTTGCAAATTACGATGACACGTTAGGAAAAGCCACCTGTTCCGAATGGACGAAGTTTTTCGATTTAGCAAACAATGTTCTTGCGTCGGAATTAATTCCAAAACATACTTCTAAACACGTATATACCAAGTCAGTCAGCGTGTGATTTTATTTCTGAATTCTTGTCATCAATACTAATCGATTTTCGCAATTTTAGTTGTGTTTGTGAATTGAAATCTGATGTTTACTCTTATGATCAATAGTTATTGTTGCTAAGATTGCTGCACCATATGGACTGTTTTTGGCGCAGGAGTGAATTCGTTCATTTGTGGTCGAGACTGACGGTTGGACACAGGAGCAGTTTCTTCATGTAAATCAAAGAAACATAGAATTTAAAGATGCGAACGTTAATATTTCTCTTCTGCCTCATCCTGACTGCTAATGGCAACATCATTAGTCTTGATTTTACACAATGCTCAGTAAGTATAATTGTTGCTACTTAAATTTCAACACCAGTTTTAAAGTTTTAAAAATATTTTCTCGTTAATTTAAACCAATATTTAATAACACCATTAATATATTGTGTATAATTTGCATATAACCCTCAAATTTCTGCCAGCATATTTAGTGATTTTTGTCCTAAACGAATGTAGGCTAGTGAATAGTGTAATTACAATATGCGACTGATTAAATTTTAATAAACTTCTTTAATAAATGATTCTTTCAAATGATCTTGCATTCTATATCGAAGGGGAAAATGATCATCTGAACTCTATTTCGAAGTGTGTAGGGGGTTCGTTTTTTGAATGGCAGTATATGGAGACATGAAATAGAATTGGTTTATATATAGGGCCTAGTAATAATTATTATTACTCTACTAGGTCCTATTATTAATTAATATGCTTGTGGTACATTTTAGCACACATTCAGATTGTTTTCAATTATCTAAACCCTTAAATTTCTGGCAGCAACTTTTGTAGTGAAATAGCTGTAAAATTAAAATTGATTTTTGGTATTAATCTGTTGGTTTTTTTTAAATTGTATTTTTTTTTAAATCAAGAATTCAACTTTTTTTATACTTTTTGAGACGCCCTAGTGGCATCATAACCACTAGACGACCCAGCTTGCGTTTAGTGACTAGGGTTAAATATGTTGGGTTTTTTTTTTTTTATTGTTTTAATGAAGAACTAAAATTTGTTTTACCTTTTGAGATAACCTAGTGGCATCATAACCAGTAGACCACCAAGCTTGTGCTTAGCGACTAAGGTTAAATTCGATCCCCAAGTAGTAGTGGGTATTAGAGAGATTTTGCAACCTTACGAAAACGATAATGAATACGAATACGTCGTCATCATTATCGTCATTCGTGCCTAAAACATTCTTGACAATATTATGCTGTATGAGCTGAATCTGATCCTTGATTCATGCAAAAGATATGAATCGGCTACGTTGTGGCAGATATGCTACTGTAGGGGAAGGGTCTAACAATTTGATGACGTAACAGTATTCGTTATCCTTTTCATAAGAATTAGATAGAACTATAGGCATAAACCAAACTTCATGTCATAGCATTTCTTGTTTTGTAGGAGTGTGACTGCAAACCACCACAGAATTCCTCGAATCCTGCACTGATGGTTCACGATAGTGAAAATGATTGCTACTGTATGTGTGGCAATACGCGATCGCATGCATGCGACTCCACCGGCGATTGTCACTCGGGACTGTTTTGTACCGCACCTGACAGTGAAACTGGCCAAGGCGTATGTGATGGTATGGGTATCATTAACGACGGATGATGATGGTGATGATGATGATGACGATTACGATGATGGTGATGAGACAGTGATGTCGATGATGATGGTGATGCTGGTGATGATGACGATGAAGATGATGATGAGGAAGAGGGGAAGACTGAGGAAACTATGATTATGTAACTGTTGATGATAATGAGGATAGAAATGACAATGTCGGTGAAGATCATAATGATGGGTGGTGGTTATGATGGTGATGAAGATAATGATGTGTGTTTGTCTGTAGTATAGGCTATGTTATTCGAATTGCATTACGCAGAAATGTTATTCGAATTGCATTATGCAGAAAAATTAATCAAAATACCGTACCAAAACCTACGGTCAAGGTTCGTTCACAATACTTCTGCCTTTTTCTGGAATCAGCTTCCAAATAACGTACCTTCTTCCAATTCTATTTGTAACTTTAAGTCACAGCTTAAGACCTATTTGTTTCCCTGTGGCTATTCACATGTTGCGCCTTTGATCTTGTTTGGAATTGGCGATATATAAATTCGAGATATTATTATTTTTTATTACTATTTAACCTAACAGAATAAATCATGGCTATATTTGTTAGAGAAATTCATCCGATTATATACATAGAAAAGAACCACATACGATTCTATTTACAGTACATTAAATAAACATGTAATAAGTCAACGCTAGTTTATAAGGTTTTGTATTTAGAGTATCTGAATAACAATTGTTTGTTGGCTTGTACCTTGTATTTCAGATGCTTGCAATAGCCCACACATGTCTTGCGAAACGTACGAACGATGTGAATTAGTGAACGATATCCCCACGTGTATCTGTAAGGTGTTCGACTGCTCCTCATCCCTCACAAGACCAATTTGTGCTGAGGGAAACGTAGAGTTTCCAAACAGGTAACCACAGCTTCGTATTAGTTTTTTTTTTGTGGATGACATAAGCAGAAATGATAATAAATGTCCTAACCTAACCATTTTATTATATAAATTATTAGTAGGCCTAATAATATTATAAAAATAAAGTAGTTGATACCAAAGGTGCACGAAATAATTAAAATAACATAATAATAATAATAATAATAATAATAATAATAATAATAATAATAATAATAATAAATAATAATGTAGTAGTAGTATGACCAATGGTATAATAATAATAATAATAATAATAATAATAATAATAATAATAATAATAATAATGATAATAATAATAAATTAGTACCAAATGATACTGACAACGATGAAAATAATCATGACGATGACGATTACCAATGACAATGATGATAGAAATATTAAGAATGATAAATTAATAATACAAATATACATATTAGTTACAATGATAATGAACAAGAATACTTATTATGAGTTTTAAACATTTTACAGGTGCTTCTACGAGAACACAAACTGCGACAGGAAGCGTGTTAGTCTTACCCCTCTTCCAATTCTAGGTCATGGAACGTGCATGGGTAAGTACATTTCCATTTAATCGACCCGTAGAGCACTTTTTGTTTTTGTTTTCTTTTTTATTATGGATTTCATTTGAAATATAAGATGATCAGTCTATTGATTATTATTATTAATATTGTTGTTGTTCCTGTTATATACAATAATAATAGGCCTAATAATTATATTTTTTCTGATTTTCAGATGTTGTGAATCTTTTGAACTCTGAACCTGAAAATTCTGGCAACGCCTACAATCCATTACTTTAATGGCATTGGCAGATGTACATGTCTTATAACGCATACATTATAAGTACAAAACATACATTGCAATAGACTTGGTGATGGTAGTAATGGGTTGTCTTCTGGTTGGTGGCTGCTTGGGGAGATTTTCGGAAATTTTTATGAGTTTGCACGCTTAAACGACATTTGTAAAGTGCATTTATAATTCCAGTTGAAATGATCATTTGATTTTTTTTTAATTATTATTATTCTAAGGAAACTGGGAAACGTTTTAAGATTTGGCAAAGTGTTTCTTTCTTTTGTTTTTTTCATGCTCATGACATAGAGCAATAAATTGATATTAAAATCACCTGATTTAGTTTTCTTCAATGGGGCTTGGGATTCTTCTTGGTGAAAGAAAGGGGGTTCTTTGCTGTTTCATAGGACTAGGGGAGAGTTTTAAAGAAATATATTGTGATTATTTATTGTAACATGTAGACCTACTGCTTACTGCAACTATGGCGGTACGCTTGAAAAAGATGTATTCGCAATTATTCAGAATGTTTTAGTGTCGTCTGAAAAGCATACTTCACTATATGGTAACTATTCCTGGTTTTAAAAAGATTGTTGTTGGTTTATTGCCTAATGTAACTACGGTGATGGTAATGCTCTGGAACTAATGAACGTGTATTATATATTCGCTAATTAGTGACTCGATAAAGAATAAAAAAATGTTCGTTTGTTGTTACGTATAAAAGCCAAATTGTGTCTGATAAAACTAAGGTGACAAAGGTTTGTATCCGGTGAAGGTATATGATATTCGCTATTATTTCTAATGTATTTATTGTCGTAACGCAATGTTGTCTTGCTATTGGTGACTACTTTTTATCGAAACCACGTTTATAATTATAAGATTATAAGAGTTATTAACACTATAAAAGGTAGGCATATTCGCGTTTATACATGAACGTATTCTTGTCGTCTTAATCACAAATGACTAATCAGAACGTATTATTGCGCATGTCTTCAAATCAAGGTTTTTTTTAATTAAGTTTGGGTGTCGCACATTAATATATAATATTGAGCTGATGCTTTCTTGCGCTGAAAACCCCGGTTCAAACCCGGCCAGGGTCGGATTTTATTTATAGTCTGATCCCTCGGCGCCTCGAATAATCCTTGTATGAGACTTAGGCGGGAAATACATCTGTTACATCTCGGTGCTAGCACTGGCTGGGATCCCCGGGATCCCAGTCAAAATTAAAAATTTCCTATATAGGCCTATTTGAAATTAGACAAAAGTAAACCTCAATCTATAATTTTTTTTTTTTTAAATAACAGGGTTTTGATGTTAAAATATAATTTAGGCATTTATGTAGACCTATACTTCCACATATTCATGTGAAGGTATTTTTGGTTACCTGCAGCGGTTTCAAATATTATGCATTTTTCCTTTAACATTCGAAAGAATATTTTTATTACTAGGCCTATCTGTGTTTTGGTGAATAAATCTATTTGACTTCTTATATTTTCTTGGTCTCTTTAATTTGTCTTAATAATAATAACAGTACAACAATACCGTTTGTCTAGCATGCTATTCTGATGTGCAGTGCAGTGAGTTTTGACAAAATGACTGTGTTTACTTTTGTTTCTGCTTTTTCTTGTTTTGTCAAAAAATAATAGGCCTACATACTGAGGCTTAATTTTATTTTAATTTATTAAGAATATTATTGTATTTTTATTGTAATAATGAATTAATTTTTCTATTATTACAGTAGTTTGTTTTCCTTTCTTTTTCGAGTCCTTTAATTTTCATTTTCAATTCCCATTTTTCTAGATTCTTTTACTTGAATTCTTTCTTATCATTTTCCATTATTTTGATTTTTTGACATCCTTTCCTTTTCCCCTTTTCAATTTTTACTATTAATCTTCTTTTTCTTTTTCTTTTCTGTATTTTTTCTCTTTTAATTCTTCTTCTCATTAGGCCTACCTTTTCTGTCAGTAAAGTCCAAAATTTAGTTCGTGTGCTATCGTTAACAATATCGTTTATTATAATTATTGTTATTGTTTTCATACACATTTATTGTTTTTGTAGTTAAGCCTACTTTTATTGTTTTTATACACAAATTAACAGATTTGGTACCGTAACGTATAAGCCTACCAAGCTGTCAAATTTCGCCTGTCATCTTTTTTCAAGACTTGATGTACGTCTACAATAATTGTGGACTTTACACAATTGCGTGTCCTTTCATTTTAAGGTATACGGTATTGATTTATGTCACAAGTTATTAGGATCAGAAAGTCATTGTCTGTATTGTCTGTAATGAAAATTGAGCATTACTTTATTAGAGATTATAACTAGCGCATCAAAATCCAAAAGCTGACGAAAATTGTTTTGACGAATAAGCATACTAAACTTACGCCATGAATTAATATCGAAAGACTTTTTCCGGAAATGGAGTTTATTAATACAAGTTCAGAAGTACGTAGAACCGGATACAGGTCCTTTTAAAAGTTATCTGTCGGTAAGCAATGTGTACATTGTAAGCATTTCCATTGAACATTATTGATGTAGTACTTTTATTGCTTTTATACACAAATTAACAAATTTGGTAACGTATAAGCTTACCAAGTTGTCAAATTTCGCCTGTCATCTTGTTTCAAGACTTGATGTACGCCTACAGTAATTGTGGACTTCACACAATTGCGTGTCCTTTCATTTTAAGGTATACGGTATTGATTTATGTCACAAGTTATTACTAGCAGAAAGTCATTGTCTGTATTGTCTGTAATGAAAATTGAGCATTACTTTATTAGAGATTATAAC